AAATGGGGGGAGAGGCAAAGGAAAGCGGGGGAGAGGCAAAGGAAAGGGGGGGAGAGGCAAAGGAAAGGGGGGAGAAAAAAGTGGAGTAGTGCAAAATATATCAAAAATGCTTTTTGTTGTAGCAAAATTAAGTGAAAACTAATATTTTTAAAAAAAATGGTATTAAGCGTTTTTTTTAAATTAATATTAATAAAACAAAACTAATTGAACTAATTTTATTGAGAAAGAAACCCCTTTTCAATATTGCAGTTGTATGCAGTATAACAATTTTGCAAATTATAAATTTTTGAAAATTTAGCTTTCTTCAAAAATTACACTAGTGCCATTTCTTAAGCTAAGTTCTATCAGAAAATACATTTATCCAAAAATTTGGAGTCATTGAGTAATTGATGATTATCCCCCAAATTAAAATTATACTTCAAATTCTCAAGGCATCAAGATCAGCCAGGTCGATCAATTTTGCAGAAAATAATTCAAAAATTTTACTTGCTAGTGTTGACCTTGGACGGACAGTTTTGTCATTAACAATATGTCAAAATCTATAACCCTCAACATGTGGATTCTGAATAACATGTTAGAGGCAGTAATTTACTACATTTAGGAGCGATATTTTATCCACATTTCGAAATCAAGAATACACAATTACTTTTTCTGACGAAAAGTTCACTGCAGCATTACAATACTTTTGTTTACTACACAAGTACATAGAAAACAAGAGAAAAAATGAAAATAAAAATAAAATGCAGCCAAACCTCTCCCAGGCATCCGATCTCCATTCAGTAATTATTCTATGCCTCGAAAACTAAGATTCCACAGGATAGATGTAGTTCATTATTAATGTTTGAAAAAAGAACACTTCCAGTTTTAATGAAAAAAAAGAAGATTTTGTGTCCTTTCACTTAATTTTGCACCATGTTGCAAGCCAGCCATTTACTGTAAAATGACTAACCGAATAAAGGGTGCTTGTTTAATTCAATATTTAGTATTGGCCCATTCAATGTCGAGTGGGCTAATTTTGGAGAAGTGACATACGCCCATCTATGATTTCGATGAAAATTTGGATGGCAAGTCACTTTTAAAGAGTACTTTGCTTGATTGGAAAAAAAATCTAAATATTAGGAACAATTTTCGAGAAATTTGACGCTCAATGTTATCCCAAACATCAAAATATAAGTTTCACATTCTTAGGGCATCAAGTTTTTCCAGATTGATAAAAAAATATCAATTTTGAAGAAAATATGTTTGAAAGGTTAAGGGGGTAGAATTTACAATGGACCATGCACAGTTTTGCCATAAACCAATGTTTTTGGTATCGAGAACAAAATGGGTCCCAAATGTGTTAAACACAATGTGTTAAAGGAAGTTATTTATTACATTTAGGAGCAAGATTCATCCACTTTTTCGATATCAAGGTCCCATAATAGATTTTCCGATAAATAACACCATTCTGCTAGGGTATTTTAATTATTTTTTTACTGCACACAGAAAGCAAGATAGTACCTAGAGATGCAACAGATGTGGCACAGGCTTTTTCGTACTAGTTAGTGTACTAATCTCTCTCTTGTTTGGGCCAGCATTTCATCTTTATTCCACCATCTTTGTAGCTTCCAATTATTAGCACTTAGTATAATATACATTTAACATTTCTTCAATTTTTCTTTTAGCTAATTGTAGAATTAAAATGACCAACAATGTTAAAAGAGTACAGCTTTCTAACGTATGTAAATTTACACTGAACATTTTGACACAGTTTTCGAGAAAATGTTCAAGTAATTCTCAAAATGTGAAATTTGAGATCATTTTCACAGGTAACTTTGGTTTTCAAAAAACTTCTTAGGAAATCATTTAAAGCTCTTTTACTTAGAATTACAAATCTTTGAAATGACAATCCTTAACTTGGCTAGCAAAGTCTACTAGAGATAAAAATTATTGGAAGGTAAATTATTTACCTTTGAGCTGTATATGAAGAGAAAATAGTACTCCAATTTTTATACATTCTTCAACTACTATTTAATACATACAAAACTAGATTGCATTGAAAGCAATGTTTGAAAACAACACTTCCGGTTTTAATGAAAAGACTGGATTTTGTGCTCTTTCACTTAATATTGCACCGCATTGCAAGCCAGCCATTCACCGTAAAATAACTGGCCGAATAAACGGTGCCAATTTCATTCATTTTTATATTGGGTTATTCCAGGTCAAGTAGGATAACTTTGGAGTTAGGATGTGCCACCCAATCTGATGTTGATGAAATTATGCATGGCGTGTCTTTCAGATCTCAAAGGAACTTTTGTCAAGTTGAAGCTTCTGAGGTGAAATTGATTTTGAGATTCGGACATTTGTTTAACATCCAGAAGCATCATATAATACGACTAAGATAACCTCAACTTTGGGGTACAATTTTTCCTTTTGCCAATTATTGCTATTCAAATCATATTGAGCTTATCAGGAATGACTATCTGCTTCATTAAACGAAACTAATATGAAATTGTGTGTACACTGATTCAAAGAAGCCGAACAGGGATAAAAAAAATTCCAGACTAATGTTCAATAACTTCCATAATATGTGAAACAAGAGTTATACTTTTCTATAACTAACAACATTGTTTCCTAATGTGTAATTTCAACCTCCTAGCTTTTACCATTACTTCATAAATTAGTTTACAATGATTTTGGTTTAATGGCTTTGAAACAGGATATGTTGAACCTCCTTTTACAGAAAAACCTCAAACCAAACTAACCTCAATAGACCGAGCTGGTTTTGACGTTTCTAAAGGAAATTTGTTAATCCACAGGAGCAAGAGTTCGAAAATTGTGGTAAAATATTGAGCAATGTTGATGAATAAATCAAGTAGCCAGTAAAAATTCCAGAGTTAATTTTTACTGTTGCCCTTATTCCTCTTCTTTGATTCTACCGACCCTGTCTTCATTTCCTTGGCATCCATTGCCTCATTTGCCAAGACCAAATTGCAATACAATACAAAAATATTCACCAGACCACAAATCATAAGTAGTGAAATATGCAAATTTTGAAGGACTCTCAAAAATACTCACAACTTTTAATCTTACAAATGTCTCAAAATACATCAACTGTAAAGGAGAAAAACTGCAAGAAGTGGAAAAGCAGATATAGCTGAAGGTAGTGAATTATAGAAACAAATTGGGAAATTCAGATGACGATCAACAACAATTGTTAATAATAATTATTCTTACCTGAGGTGGAACCATACGAGAACGTGGAGCAGCAACAATAGGTCCTGGGCCAGAATGTGGTGTTCCTCCCACCCTACTTCCATAGTTAGGTCCCCAAGAACCCACCACTACACCAGCTATTTCCAGTTGTCCGCCTCGTGTTGGTACTGACCGTCTCAGCAAACCCCTTGACGCTCCATTAGCAGTGTAAAGACTACATTTGCCAACTGGCATTGCTCGAGATTGAACTAATGCTCCTCCAGCAGGCTGCACATTTCCTGGAGGCATGCCACCTGGCATACGCATACCTGACAAAGGAAATATTTAATTGCAACTAGCTTACAAAACTTCACAACATAGTAGACATTACTGCAACATACCAGTCATTTGTGGCATAGCTGGTCGAGCAAATTGTACATTAAGTCCTTCCATAATGGCTTTACGCATTCGATCAACTTTGACAACATGATCAATGTGGTGGTCGCACAATTCCAATAAATTTTTTACAACAGATGTTCGCGCTAATTTGTGATGAAACAACTTTCCATCAAAAAAGAGCCAAGGGCAGCACATAAGCCAAGGAATTGGGGCACCGCAAGCATCATTTGCCATTAAAGCTGTTTCAACACCTTGCATGAACATGGCAGCAAGCTGTACTCCACGACTTGTCACTAAAGGCAACTGCAAAACAAACCAGGAGTTAATTGATTTAACCAGTCTCGTAAAGATTAACAATTTATTTTGTTCTGTAGAATTAAAAATCAAACATTCACCTGCAATTCTTGCAAATAATGCGCATTCATAAGCTCAGGAGAAAATGCTTGGGCAATAAAAGCATCTAATTCTGGTTTACGCAGGATCTTTTTGTCAGGAAAGGAAATCATGTATCTGAAAAGGAAATGCAAAATATTTCAGAAACAGATCCGTTGCACTGTATATGTATGTACAACACTTCACAAAATACAAATCAAAATTGAAGAAAAATTACACACCTTAGAACAGTGGCCATAACAAGAAGATGTTGTGGCACATAGGCAGGATTAAGCATTAGTGGAGTGTCAGAACGCATACATGTTAGGAATGCTCTTAAACGTCTCCTCCTATCATCATTTGCAGACCTGAATATTGAAATTAAAGCATATTTAGTATAATTTAATTAGAAATCCTTATTTGTTTATTTTATGTTGGAAATCACCCGAAATATAATAATTGAACATAAATATTCATTTGGTTACAATAATGAGGCCATATACAATATAGATTTTGGAAGATCATTTAAAAATAAAAGTTTAAGTGGCTTGACAAGTATGGTTCATTGTATTAGCTCATTTTCAATTAAAGAGCTGAATTCAAGAAATTGAATTCAGCTCTACGCACAAAACTCAATTTCCATTTTTGCTTTCCAAATCACGATGAGGTATACTTCAATCTCGGGCAATAAATAATTAGTCGATAACAAAAGACAAAAGTTCAAAAAACATCAATACATCTTTGTAGGTGGTGTGAAATTTGATTCGAATTTAGAACTATTTTTACATTAGATATGAATAAGAGAACAACCTTCCCTACATAAAAAAACAACATAGAAACAAACTTTAATGGGTAACAGGCCAATTTACATGATCACCTTTTACGAGATTGTATATACAACAATTTATCCCATTCTTTTACATCCCACATGCATCACGTTCACATTAAGTACCCTTCAAACATGTCTCTCTTTACACGATCATTTTTTCATCATTTTTCGCCGGTACAGAAAAGATACAAACAAGTCTTCGTGTAATTTGTACAAAAAAAAAAATGACGCATGCTTAATTTTTCGGTAAAGATTTCATCAACCGCGCTCTTGGCAGCACCATATGAATTTCTCTAGTTGTTATGCGTGTGGAGCTATTTGTTCATTTTGTAGTTGCGCAAGTGTGTTCTAATGAGTGGAATTGTATTGTGAAGTGATTATGTAGTGAGAAAAAAATTATGTACTGTATTCTAATATAATCGCATCCGTGCTCAGTCAACTTAATTTGTTACAAAGATTAAATGTTCAAATGTTTGAACTTCAGCGCTATATGCGGTGTCCGGAGGAAGTATTTTCTTCACGATTACGTACAAAGACAGAAATGACCATGCAAAACACTGGAACCACTCTCATCCAGTTTCAGCACCGAAACAGTGGGTAGAAATAAATGTCTTTTTTCCACCCACTTTCTGTACAGAAAAATGATGAAAAAATGACTATATAAAATAGGGTTAACAATAGCATACACTACCTGGAATTCATACAAGAAATGTTTTGGTCAATAAATAAATTTTATTCTCACAAAAACAGCAAATACCAGTACGTGACTCATATTCTATACATAGCCCTTTAAATGATTGAATTCAACTCTGAAATGTTCATACCAAAAAGATCTATTTCACAAGCTTGTTAATTATTTCACATTCTAGTTATAGTGTTGTTTATTGTAAATTGCAATCTTTAAAATTTTTGTGTTGAATTATCTGTGTATAATAGTAATCTGATTTGAAAGCACATGCAAAATGCGAAGGAAAAAAAAGAAAAGAAAAGAAAAAAAAAGAATATAACCAATAGATACATTTCAATCATGTTTTAATTTATAATTATTCACATTATAATTACATTAACTTATAATTATCACATTCTATGCACTAACACTCTTAATTTAACTATTCCATTTCTGTTTAGTTGACTTACCCAAACCACAATCTCTGAATTGTAGGTACACGCCAACCTATTTGTTCTGCTTTCACATACTCTGGTGTCTGATATGGGTTTGATTTTGACCAGATCCATTCTTTTATCCTCAGTTCTGGAACTTCAGTCTTTTCAACCTCTAATAAAAACAAAACAAACACATAAGAATTTAGAAGCACACAAGAATTCATTTTCTTTTGATTAACAAAAATGGAAATAATGTTAATTACCTCCTTCCTTTTTATTTTGGGTTGCCAAGTACATATGATGATGCAAATTAAATAGAATTGCATAAACCATTTGGCGTACAGGTCTGTAAAACAAGTGAATACTAGGCAGTTCTTTGTGATTTTCATCCTCCATTAATACTGGAAATTTTACTTCCCCCTAAAAGAAACAAAATGTTCCAGCAATCCCAAAGTTACGAACATCCTATTATAGCAATTATGTTCAGTTTTTACTCACTTGGGTTAAGATCTGATAAATAAATGGTGACATAAGCCCCTTTTGATGACGTTCACTAGCTGTCCGCATTACTTCGGGAGGAATACTAGGAAGAGAACTCAGTTTATTTGAGACTGGACCCACAACATCTTCAGCAACAGAATTTAGTTTTGCATTCTGTAAAATTCGACATAGTGTAATTATACAGCATAATAATGCAAGAACAGTGTAATCTAAACTTCACCCATTGAAAGGTGAACTAAAAAATAGTTTTAGAAAACACAGATAACAACAGTCAAAGAAAATGGATTGATTCTACAATATATGAAAGTATTTCTGTAGGGAAAAAACAACAAAACGAAAACTGTTGGCCTGTAACCACGAACCTGGAGAGCTCTCACCTCAGGTGTGAGGCGACTAGGTGAAGTAGCACTGGAACTGCTAGAAGAGCTTGACGAACTAATTAGAAGTTGTGCATGATTGCCACCATTTATAGCATGTGGTTCTGAGTTTCCTGAAATCGAAATGCATAAAGAATAAAAAAGAAAATAAAAAATCTTTCTGTAAACTGAAGTTACTGAATGTTCTGAAATCTAAGGCAAAAAGCAACTTTTTACCTTTTAGTAATAAAATTACTTATATTATTTGTATTATTAAAAGAGATGAACTTGCATCCAAGGAAACTGCATTTATTTGCAATACTCGCAATGTGTACATTTAATAAATTCCATTCTGTGGGCATGTAAGTTTTATAATTCTCTCACCACATGCTGTGGTGAAGTGATCTGAAGCAGTTGCATTATAAGGATTTGTTTACATTGCCTTCGATGCCAGAATCAGCATGGGCACTCAGTAACGCAAGAAGCACGTTCTATGCGTTTTCCAAGTTTTCCCTGCTTTTCTCAAAGAAAAACAAAAACAAAACGTTCATCATCTTATTTATAAATACACTTTGTTACAATCTTCTTTGATTACACAACAAACAAATACAAAGTTTTGGTCCCCTTGACTTTTAATTAGAATTTACAGTATTCAACTGTTAGAGCCTTCTTCCATTGCAACTTCTTGCTTTCTTCTAACACTTAATGTATTTTACGTGTACTTCCATATTACTTCCTGATATTTCTACCTTTCTTGATCACTTCTCATGCTCTTCATGGAGTGTTAACCTCTGTAGCGACTCATGCTTAGATCGCATGGTTGTACAACCCTGAGATAATAGGAATTTATATCCTTGTTTTAATTACATTGAATATTCAAGATATTGCAGCAATATCGATGTAAAGGAATCATTTTAAAATCTAAGAGCGCCCAACTAGTACTCTCCAGCATCTAGTGCCCTACCAGATATTGCACAACACCCTTGGCTCTTGCCTCTATTACTGCGATTACTGCACTCTTTGGTCCCATGCTGCAACACTCCTCAACATTAGGCCTTTAGTGCAGCAACCAATGGGCAAGGCGGTTTGGTCGTTGAGTACTGAGTGGTGCACCAAAGGGAATCCAAAATTTCTTTCTTCCTCTGACACTTATCTCTCATCTAATTTTATTAATTTCGCATGTTACTGAAAGTACACAAGTCTTGTCAACTATTGATGGTATTGAATGCATTATTTAGAATATTTAAGACAGATCCACTGAAGGCTATTAGACAGATCTTTGAAGGATTCATTTTCTTTTGAAGTTAGGTTTTTGATTCAAAATGTACATTTGATTAAGAGTCCAATGTGTAAAGTTGGCTTAATTGGAAGGAAGTCCCTTTCTGTCTGTCATGGTAGGTGTGTATTTTCGACTGTTGTTTTAGCTTAAGAAGTCTGCAAGCGATGTGCAATTGTGTGAAATATATTTATTACAAGATATATTAGAGTAGTGAAATTTTCTAAATAAAATATTCTCTAAAAAACACGTCCAAGTAATAATGCTTGTTGTGAAGTGCTGGAGTGTTATCTCCAAATTTTCAATTTCTTTTTTGTTTTGTATGAATTCTACCAACAATTGTCTCAATGCAGAACTAATAAAAAAACTTAAGTGCCCAATGGAAATCAAAGCCAGAACGATGCACATGAAAAGTGTATATACCTGACATGGACACTACACACAAAATTATGTAAGTAATGTTTCAATAAACTTTTGTTTCACTTGTTTTAATTAATTTACAACATTGTTTACAATTTTATAATATATCAGTGTTATGAAATTTGGACATTACATTTCTGTCCTTCAATGGAGGTGCTACCTCCAGGCTGTTGGGGCACCAGCCGCCACTGGTAACCTCAGTCTTTGTGCACCCAATATTTCAATCCTTTCACATTTTGTCATTACTTTCAACGTTATGTAACCACTGTGTGACAAATACTACACTGAATGTTTTTTAATCTTACAAATAACCTTTTTGGCATTTAATCCTAAATTATTAAAGTATTCATTCAAATTTTTGAGTTCAAAATCAAGAACCAAACTAAAAACTATGGTAACACTGCAATAAACTTTTTTAGCTGAACTGTTGCCAACTTATCCTACAAAAAAGGGGAAGAAAAAGTGAAAAAAACGAGCAAGAGGACCTCTCCTTCGCACATTTGGAATTTTACAATAGGTTTGTCAGATTAAGACTAATTAAATCCTTTTTAAGAAGGGTAATTCAGGAAAAAAGAAAAAACAACTAACCAATAGCAACAAAACTAACAACTCAATTTTTAATCTATCATCTCTTCTGACTGCCCTTAAACCTTCGCGGTCTTTTGTCCTCTCCTGCAGGACTCATTGGCTTTCCCACTGCAGTCTGTTTAATGAAACTGCTGCATGCCTGTAATGAACACTACTCTATGTCTGCAGTTAAGGATGCAAATATGTTCTGAGAGTAAGGTTTGATTTTTGAATTGTTTACTAAATTTCTACATACTATGCAAACACAAAAAGTAAATGTTGTATTGTAAATATTTATTATTTATAATTCTTCTCATGAGCATGGTATTTCTGGCACCAGTATGTAGGATGCTGTCTACATTTTCTCATGCAGATACAGCAAAAGAACTAGTCATTTTTCTTCACAGAAGAATATTTGACTTAATCACCTTACCACTTTCAGAAAAATCATCAAAATGTGAATAAAATCAAAACTCTAAGAACAATCATACAATTCTTCCTTGCTAGACATGTTTATTTGCCAGGCACTGCCGTATTACCTCATATGATGATATTTACACAAAGGGTAAGTTACTAAAAGGCTACAAAATGAAATCTGGTGGCAAACATAAGTCAATGATGCCCTGAGATCCCTGGCATAAATACAATAACTCTGGGATGTTCAACTACCAAGATCTCAAGGGCTACAACTAAAACCTTTAATTTGATTGCGAGCCATATTTTCATTACTTGGATGAACTACCCCCAGACTTCCCCATATTGTTAAACTTTACCATGATGCTCTGAAAGGGGGGAGGGAGGCGGGACCATGTGTTATAACAGACCGCGCCAAACAATGATATTCTGAAATTTGAGGGGAATTAAAATTTAAACTTTATTTATTTTTACATTAAACGGTGTTGGCCCCAGCAGTGTGCATAACTTTTTCGCCCAACATGGATGAAAGGGACTTTCACTTTTAGCAAATGACACAATAAATGGCACCATGGGCTGCCAGTTTGTCTTCCCTACTTTAACTATAGCATTCTCATGAAGAGCATTATAATATTCCGATCCCACCATATGAAGAGCAGATGTTAAGAAACAAAATGCCCCACTGGGCAGAACTAAGGCTTGCCAGTGAGAGAAAATCACATGGACCTCAAAGGGTTAAAAGGTATATGGTGTCACCTATAGTGAAGTCCTACCTATCAGCAATAGAGACCTACCTATCAGCAAGACTCTTCAAAGTTAATCTATCTCGTTGCTACTACACCAGAATGAGAAAAAAACTAATGGAATGTGAAATTAGCTTTCCCACATACAAGGAACATGCACCAGAACATATGACAAAAGGCTACATTGTGCAGAAAGGCGTTCTCTCACTCAGCTTAGCTGTCAAGCAGAAAGACATGGAACAGTGAACAGAATACCAAATTTAATAAAGTAATGTTTTATACCTGATAGAACTGAAGATTCCTCCTCATGATTCTTTTCTCCAGAACATGCATTGTGGATTGTTTTAATAGTTTCACTGTGACCAGCGGTAGGTGGTTCTATTACTATCTGAGGAGCAGATTTAGCATTTGCAGTAGCTTCTTTGTAAGCTGCCAGACTGTCTCTCTGAAAGAAAGAAAAAACAATGGAAAGAGAGAAAAAAAAATCCCAAGAAGGGAACCTGTCATTAAATGTAATTAACGAAACATTTGAAATTCTGCTCATTATATCAAAAATATATTTTCTGAATAATCTATGGTATACAAGTTACCAAACAATGTTCTCACATGGTACATTAAAAAAATAAATATGAGTCAGGACCTAAGGGGGCAGGGGTGGAGAAGGATCAAGCAAAGGAAAATGCAAGGAACAAGGGAGCACAGAGAAGACAGAAGGCACCAACACCATCTGGAAGAGCCTTGGCATCTCCCAGCTCAAAATTAGCGTTTCTAAGAAATGGAAATCTATTCAACAAACTTCATATATTACCTCACTTTCTATGGTCTCCGATGCAAAACGTGAACTATCTTCGGCATCATTCTGGGTACCTTTGTTAACTGTGAAACTTGATTTCTGAGGACCCATGTGATGGCCAGTATCTTGACGTCGACCTGGAAGAAAACAAAGTGTGTGTCTTTTTTCATTTCAGCAAAAGACCATATTTTCCCCTTTTCATCTGTTAACCAAAATGTTTTTTCAACAACACATCAAGGGTATCATGTATTCAAGCAATCAGACATTTTAAAAAAAGTTGACAATCTGGAACTAGTAATTGTGCATGGGGTGTGGATACCAGCTGAGTGTGATGGCCTTTGTCTATGGGTCACAGTTTCATTGCAATGTCAGTGTCTGCAAATTTGCATTGATACGTTTTCAAGTTACACTAATCTGAAGATGAAGTATGTACTTGACTGACATCAGCTTACAAATCACATTAGCATGATGGTCAGAGACTTTGAAGCAAAAAAATAGTTGGGCCTCAGCTGGAGGAATGTAGATTAAATATAGATGTGTATGGAATATAAAAATATTAGCAATTGCACAAACTTACCAGTGTGATGAGGACGATAACGAAGAAAACCATCCTTTGTACCATTTAAATAATACTGAACACTCTGCCTCAATTTAGCAGCTCGTTTGTCAGAAGTGGACCCAAACACTTGAAATGCCACACTGTCCAAATTATCAACAGAAGGTAAGCTTTTCACAAAATTGGCAACATTTTTCACAAGAATTTCAGCAGGTATCTAAAGGGAAAAGCAATAAAGGAAAATATAAAATCAATCAGCAAAACATTTTGATACACAGCTTTTATAAGAAAAAGTTTTCTCGACAGCCATATTGTTTAACACATTCAGGTCGCTGCCCATAAAATCTACCGGCACTGACAGGTCACCTTAAATTATAACACCAGTAGAATCTTCGAGTATGCTTCAAACTGTATATCTGCTTTCATTATGTCACTTTACTATTCACTGACTACTCATGGAGGTATGTACATTAAAAAGGTACCTAAAAATACTTCTAGATTTTATTTGATGCCATTTAAGTGGTATTAAATACCTTTGGAATACATGGATGTGCATACCCTCTGCAGTTGCACCTAAGGATCATTCTTCAAAATTACCTCCCCAAAGCCAATTATTGTGAATAAAAAGTAGTTTTCTTCATTATTTCATCAATTTGAAGGAATATAATTGAAATAAACATGTTAAACATTTTTAACTCAATTTCTTGTACCATTTGAATGAAAAATATTTTAAACTTAATGTCAGCATAAGTTGGAACTTCATATAAAAGTACAAGATTGTTTCTTTAAAATAAAAAAATGATCTTGCCTCTATGCTTATTGGTTTAAAAGATAGGTCCCATCAAATGTATCTCAAAACTTAACGCAGTGGGTGGAAGTAAGTCGGGCTGAGTCTACACATGCATGAACATTTGTGAAATGCTTAATTCACAAAGATATCATATCATTCAATGTACCACCTATGAACCTTATCCATTTCCTGACCAAAAACATACGTAAGTTCTCAGATTTCAAAAAACAATCATTTTAAAAATGTAATACTGTGTTTTTTTTTGTTTTTGTTTTTTTTTCAATAATTTCTTATTACTGCAGGTTTTCAACATTTCCTGTTGCATGTCTTTACATTCCTAATTGCTGAGGAAATTATATTCAACATATTCAAGTTTGATGGAAAGACCTGGTTTCAAAAAAGGCAATTTTGTTTTTGTCAAAAATATCACCTCCACTTTAATTATACTCTGATTATGAATGAGGACTAACTACTATTTCAAGTTTTTCTAGTGTGCATTATTGTAGTTGTCTTTGTATATAAAGTGAAGTTTTTTTAAAATCGAGGTTGAAGAATAGGGTTGTCACTGGATATAGTGAATTGAAATCAATGGTCCTGTTCTACTTTACAAATAAACAAGATTCAGGTACATGAACTCTTCACATATGCTGTAGGGGAGACGATGACCAGAAAACAATACTTTGCCTCACAGGGCCAGGAATTCTAACATCATTAGGAATCTTGAGTTTGTATTTACAGTAAATGTAAGTGATTGAGGGAACATACCACTGAGGAAATAGTTTCAGCTCATCTATAAGCTTTTTCAGTCGAGCCTAAAGACTTAATCGTTAAAAACTGAAGTGAAAACTAGCAAAATTCCATACGTTTTGAAAGTATTCCAGAACAAAAGAATATGAATCTGATGATAAAGAGTACCAACGAAGACAAGTATTCCAACAGTACGAAAGTCGTTCATGAGTACCACCAATACTCTGTTATAGAGAGTGGGCATTGAAGAAATCGGTGTGGTGAAAGGACTGACTCCTGACGATCAGCAAAGACAAACGGTAATAAACTTTGACAACAACGCAGTGCTACAGAAAGGCAATGACTTTCTTGTACTAGATTCCTGTTATTTTTGTCATCTAAAATACTACCAGGGCCTCTCACAGCTTCTATGGGATACAGTGAAGATTGGTGG